AGGATTTGACAAACGCAAAACTAATTTCGGGTATTTCAATGCTTTATAATGTGCTGAACACATTTGATGATGGTCAATTTTGATCTTAAAAGTAAGGGTATTTCAACGAGAGGAATTTTTACAATGAACTATAAAAAATAAAAATTTAAGTTCGAAATTGAAAGATTTTATTATTGCAGCAAATGTTCAATCTGCATCTCTCACGCATAAGTGAGATCTCCCAATAAATGGAACATCAACTATTAAATGAGCCACATTAATTGGAATGTACATAATTAAAAATTTTTAACCCACTGTTAAGCGCGGTGGTTGTCGCGCAGCGCGTGTTCAATTTTATGTAAATAAACATTGTATGAGTCCCATATCTACCAGGATGCGGTGCGACGACTGCCGCCCTTTAATAATACAGTTAATGTGATTTAGCCCTGCATTTGTCAGTATACATGTATATGTATATGAACAAGACTTAATATCAATAGCAGCAATTATATATTTCTTGTTTAATATTTCTGTTTATCACTTCTACTTTTTATCTTCTCTCAATGAAAATGAAAAGTCTTGAAGAATAAAATGAGAGTCATTAGGTTTTGTATGTATCCCACGTGCCCCATTCTGCATTTGAAAAACATATAAAATTTGTTTACACCTGAACACACTTCACCATCTAATAGACCATTTTCTGTTCACTGGCTTATGCGTGAATTTGAACATAAAAACAGGACAATGACGTCATGTGGAATGCAACCAACACAAAAATATTTTTACGCTTAAAAATATGCTATATATTGATAATGATCAATTTTGATGAGGTAAAGGTATCTCAAATGCAATATTCCCCTCAATGATCATCATTTTGAAATTGAGCTATTAAAAAAAAAAATCAATCAAATTGTTCGTTCTCGGCAGACGTTCGGTTCACACAAGAAATTGCAGTTTGTGGATAATTAGCTATTATTTGTGGGATATTAAGTCTAGACAAATCTTCTTCACAAAATTACGTAATTGATGTCAGGGTTTATCTGACTGATGCACTAAGGTTCCTGACTTGCAATACACAGAAATAGAAATGCCCTTGTGTAACATTAAATGTTAATCAGGTTTGCATTTTCTGACGTGAAATGCTTCTCAATTGAAGTGATAGATTTACTGATATTGTAATGTACAATTCATTTTTCATAAGCACTGTATTTTATCTATTAAAAGCACATGTGTTTATATGTAAGACTTAAGTACAGTGTGTGTCTATGGTCAAAATAAGACATATTTTAATGATCTACCAATAGCATACAATATTTGTAATTTTTGGTTTATGTCCATTTCTGTTGTAGATGTGTTGAATCTAATTAGAAGCTATTAAATAGATTAAAATATTTTTTAAAATAAGTTTAACAATATTAATCATAAAATTACAATCATATACTTGAAATTATAAATTCCTAATAATAATAATAATTTAAGAAATCCTGTGTAAAACATAACATATTGAGATATTGCATATTTTGTGTTTGTTAGCCATGATATCAAAAGTATGGACCAATTACATCATCAGGAATTTTATTACTGTAAAATACTTTATTTTCGCTTAGAATTAATTTTCACAAGGGGTAACAGGGGGTTGACACCTTTGACATCTACAGAGTTGTCACGTTTGGTACCCATAGGATTGTCACTTTTCACACCCACTCAATTATTCAGAATATTTGATGGATTACATCATAGGGTCATCAATAATTACAACAATCTACATTAAACTAATTAACAACTCATCATTAAAGAATGTTTCTAATTGTTCAATATCTCAATCTGTGTGGGCATAGTTTAGTAACTTGCTTGATGTTATTTTTTATTACCGTACTTCCCCGAGTATAAGCCCCTCCCCGAGTATAAGCCCACCCCTCTGTTTTTGGACATTTAATGAGTTAAAATATGCATGTAAAAATTGTATTTCATTGCATAAAAATCATGGTTGGTATGGTAGTTTGGTTCCAGCTTTTGCGGCGGGCGAACGCACATAGTTCGCACGTTTTCTATTCTGTTATTTACTCGGGATTAACCCCGATGTTGCAATACTGAAAAAATCCACATTTCTTTTGATTAGTAGTTTTCCAAACGGCAAAATGTGATTGTCAAGACCTGGTCACTATCATCGTTTTACTTTTCCGAATAATCTTGTCTATTGAGACTATCGTGAATGGGGTGTGAACGAGCAAACTATTCTTCGACATGATTTGTTGGCGGCCGTGAAAGGTTTAAATACTTCCCTCACCCTCAGTTTACCTTTCGAAAATTGCGAATCAGCAGCTTTTAGGGAAAAAAGTCACTGTTTTTTGTCGAAATCAGTATTGACAGATCGCATTTCAACATTGCGGTAATACACTTCCGCATTGCGTTGATAAAAATACTTCGTCAATAATCGAAAAACTTCGACTGTATGACAGAGCATTTTCATTGGTCAACGAAAGACGTGACCCGTTAAAGGAAGTTGTTCAGGTCAAATTATGATGAAACCATGGCGGAAATAGCTTTGTATCGAGAGTTTGCGTACGATCTTGCTTTCGACCGTTTTCCCACAGACCCTACCTATTTTTGCACCGTAAATTCAGACGATATATGAACCGTATTGTAATAAAATTTTTGTTTTTTGTTCATATTTGTTTCTTCATTGTAAAAAAGTGTCGTTGAAATTAATGACAGCGTGTTTTGCATTGTTTATTTTGGCATGTATATTGAGCGTTCATATAAATAAGTATACTTTAAATACTTTTTTTTAGCTGGAATTAATTTTTGCTGAAAAGGCTTTTTTGGGTGTTATGTATGCAATTTATCTTCACTGATTTTTGACGAGTTGACTGTCAAATACAGGAAAATGGTATATTTGCTGGATTTTATTTTCATTGAATTATTCTATTCCTTCAGAGAAAATTAATTCCAAGCGAAAATAAAGTATTTTACAGTATACATGTACATCTATATTGGCAACTTGAGAGAGAACTTATTTGCTCATATTTGTCATTTTAAATATAGTGATTACTCTACTTGTCCATCACTCTTGCAAATCAAGTCCTGAGAGAGCTGATTATCAATCTTGCAATTTTTGTAGAGATTTTAATAGCATACCTCCTCTAATCACTTGCATTACTGTGTTCACAAGGCCATTTTTATCTTGCCTGTCATTTTCAAAAGGCTTCTTATCATCATAAACATTTTTGAGTTTGTACACTTCAAATAGCTGATAGCTGTTGTCATCATAGATGATATGTGCATGCTATCATCAAAACAAGGGGGATTTGTAGTCACAACGATCTAATTAACCAGACCTAATGAAGGGAATACAAATTGTAATTGATACTTTGGGAGTTGATATTACATTGAAAGTGAAAGTTCATATTGTTGATTTGTATTCTGCTCAAACTATGGTGATTCAATGCATCATGGATCAAAACAAACACACGTCCGTGATTAATAACATGCAGGCCTCTGTATGTGACTAATACTAAGAGTCATCGATGATACTGTTTTCAAAATGGCTCAGGTAGTTCATACTGGTTTTTATTTTAGTCATTTAAATGTGAAAAGTGTGTTCACTTTATAATTAACTGCATAAATGTTTTTAAATTAGCCTTTTTGATTGCTTAGTAAAGTAATACACCTTGAGTGTAGACAGATAATAAATCTGTCTAAACCACACCCAGTGTGAACTAGATCAAACTAAAAACCTTTCTTAGTTCCTTTTCTGCAGGCTTGCTTTTAATTATGTAGACTGAATACCTCTGTAAACGGAAACACCTCTGTAAACAGAAACACCTCTGTAAACGGAAACACCTCTGTAAACGGAACACCTCTGTAAATAGACCACCCCGTAACTGAATACCTCTGTAAACTGAACATGTATGTTAACCTCCTGTAAACTGAACACCTTCAGTGAACCAAACTAAAGACCTTTTTCAGTCCCTCCTCCCTACAACTACATACAATCTTTATTTTTATCCTGAAGACCTTTCTCCCAAGTAGTCAACAAGTTCAAAAGTCCAGTGTTAGTGAAAAACATTTTACAAGATTCCTGTCTGCATGAACAAACATTTGTGATGAGTGATGAGATTCTATTTCCACTTCTATAGTGCTTCTATGTCAAATGCGAACATTTGTGTTTAAATACGACATTAATAGTCAGAAACACATTCAATGTAGTTGACATAGTTTACTCTTGGTGCAACAAACCTGTATTGAATAATGTTGGAACATTTACAACTGATGTTATTGAGCTGTGTGCTCTTTTGATTGGCTGGTCAGAATCAACTGATGTCATTGAGCTGTGTGCTCTTTTGATTGGCTGGTCAGAATCAACTGATGTCATTGAGCTGTGTGCTCTTTTGATTGGCTGGTCAGAATCAACTGATGTCATTGAGCTGTGTGCTCTTTTGATTGGCTGGTCAGAATCAACTGATGTCATTGAGCTGTGTGCTCTTTTGATTGGCTGGTCAGAATCAACTGATGTCATTGAGCTGTGTGCTCTTTTGATTGGCTGGTCAGAATCAACTGATGTCATTGAGCTGTGTGCTCTTTTGATTGGCTGGTCAGAATCAACTGATGTCATTGAGCTGTGTGCTCATTCATTGATTGGCTGGGCAGATTCAACTTCCATTGAAATTCATAAATATTGTAACAGGTTTTTTGTGCCAAATAAAATGTGAATGTTGAAATGAGCCAGGATGTGTTTTGAACAAGTGCAAATAGCATATTTGCTCTATTTACTCTATTTGCTCACTTTATGCAAATCAGAGGTTTTTTTATGAGCAATGATTTAGTATACATTTATATTGAAGATAAGGTTCTAATAGAGCAAATATGGTGTATGGAATGATGGATTCTTTTGTTCTAGTTGCTAGATGCACAAGTATATGCAATATTCAAGACAAAGGCATATCTAGACACAAAAAAAGTTAGATTTTAGAGCAATCACAGATAAATATTTTAATGTGTATATTTTCTATTACTTGCAGTTGATAGTTATGGTATTGACAATCGCTTAGAGATTAATTTACTGGATTCGCTAGCATTGAATAACACTGTGCGAGGTGTGACACAAGTACCTGGATTTCATAATAGATCACCTGCTTATTTGATTCAAGGTAAGACACCATCATTTTTGGAAATCAGAATTGGCAGATTTAGACAGAGAAGAAAAAGTTCAGTTATTCTGCACTCAGGGCTGAATTTTGAAGTTGATGCTTGGCTTTACATACATACTGTACTACTTTTATTAGTAGCTCATGTGCTTACATAAATGACAAAAGTATAGTATGTCTATGGTCAGAATAAGTCATGTTTTAATGATATAATATAGGTATTAAATGTCAGTTAATGTACACTTCTATTGAAGAAAGAGCTTTGGGGTATCAAGGCAATTAGAACGTCTTCGTAAAGTTCAGTTCTGCTTGAAGACTTCACCTGCTGACACAGCTTTTTTTTTTTTTTTTGCTCTCCGTGGAGGCAATCGCCATTTGATGCCCCCAAAAAGTTCAAGCTCAGCTGTTAGTGATGGAACTAGGATAATATGATTTGTATGTGCACTGAGAACAGGAACCGTGTGCAGCACTAACAGCTTTATTGTGTTTCCTCCAAATGGACACTATTCTCTCGCGCAAGATTAGATGCAAGCCTAACTAAGCTGCCAAGTGAGCCAGAATTCTACTCACCTCATGGGGGCGCTATGTCTCCATGTTTAAACACTGGGTTCATAGCAAGCACTGTAGTTTGTAGTGTTTCTTGCACTGTTTACCAAATCCAAATACATTAGTTTTTGATCAAATGTAAAGCCAAAAAAAACTTGTATGCTGCAGAGCTGTTATTATTACTTTTTACCCACCTCCTGTGATGAAGTAGCTTGGAACTTTAATTAATTAAGTCAGTTGATGAATTCTCATTCAGTGTCTTACTGCATTAAATATCTTATTTAATGTTGATGTATTATTTTATTAGTAAAGATGTCTTGAGGTTTCCCTCTTATCTTATACGTGGTGGTATGAGACCTATATTTATTATATGATAGTGACTCATATCTGTCTGTAAACTATCTGTCTCTTGGAGGTAGATACATGGATCAAATTACAAAAATCATCGCATGTTTTTTGATACACTAATCATAATGATAGTCGTCTATGAATCATACTGTAAATAATAGTGTCTGAGGTCTTCACCTTTCTCATCATACTGGGTGTTGCTAATTATATTAACAATGACAAACTGACTATTGATGTGATTGTGATGTACAGTTAAAGTGATTCAGATGTGTGCAGTTCAGGGCTTTCAACATGTCACTTATCACGTACATGTACTATATTTTCTCTGTATTTGACCTGTTGAAATAGCTCTCATCAATCTGCTGAACTTAAATCCAAGTAAAACTTTTGTTAATATGAAGGAGACGTTTCTAATAGTACAACTTGTTTTACATGATGTGCAACCAAATTATGGTATAAATGTTGCTTGATTCGCTCATCCCTCTTGCTCATCTTCCCTTGTTTGTCACAGTAATCTGGTTTCAAATCTTGTATATAAACATGACACATTGAACAGTTCAGTTGAAGCTATCCAGCCGCCTTCTACATGGTTGCTTTCTTCTTTATGTAAATGTATGCTTTTATCACATGATAAAACTATCCTACGTCTTTAATGCTGTATCAATCTGGGTCTGTATTCATCTTATTTGCCTCAAACGTTCTATATTATTTGGCACTGAGTCCACTGTACTATTGTAATGTCATTATAATGTGAACAACATCATTATTGATTTATTGCCACGAAAAAAGTTTAACAAAAGTTTTTCTATGTTAGGAGCTCAGTTTCCTGTGGTAGAGGCTTTTCAGGTAAAGACATTTTTGCTGAATGCACAGACATTGGTTTCCTATGTCTGGGCAAAAATATGTCTTTACCTTCAAGCCTCTTTCTGAGTTCACCTGAAAATCCTCTCCAATAGGGAACTGCGAGGGCTCCCGACTTGTGAAAAGGATCTATGTTCCAACATTTGTGATCAAACCAAATCAATAATTTTCTGTTTTGGTCCAAATTCGTGAAGCCACCAGGCTTTATCAAATTTCTTGGCCTGAATCTCAGCCACATTTTGCTAATGTTGATTAATTTACATTTCTATGAGTTCATAATTCATGATTTGGAATTCCTCATCACAATTTGTACCAATGTATTGTAGCCAACTAAAATTGACTATTGGTGACTGACGAAGGGTAAGAAGAAGCCCACTATTCACCATCTTTGCCAGCCATGATTCATTAATTTGGCTGTCGCCTAACCATTCATTTCTGCCAGAATTCCCACTATAAATCTGTATTGCCTGTTGATGAAATCATGTTCAATGTTCTGATGTGTCTCTTCTGGAAATCAAACATAAAGTCAAATCTATGGTTTTAAAATTGAATCTAGTTGTTATAATAATGTGAATGATTGATTGATTAAGATTCAATCTTTTTGGTGTGCCCAATCAAATTATTCAATTAACTCAAATATGGCTTTCCTAACAAACATATGGCTTTGTGAGGATGACCATATGAATGGTTGCCTTCAGCAAAACCATGTGAGTATTCACATACATTCATTCTCTTACATATATCTAGAAGTGTGTGTGAGTGCGTCATGACTTCAAGTCTCCATACAATAATTATCATCTGTCTGTGGCTACATCATGTACATGCACGTACTAAAGAATGGAATACCAAATCTTGTTGCCATGGTGAAGATTTTGTGCCATCCTCTTCACATTTACTCACTCTGTCATTTTAAATTGTGGGAAATGATGGGAAAAAATAAGACCTTTAGAATTGCATTGTTTTTTCCCCAAACAAGTCATTTTTAGATCTTCCACTGTAGGTGTAAAACAACAAATTGTAGGATGGAGATTTTGTTCATAGTGAGCAGTCAAACTAATTATGGTATCACTTCATAGG